GGTCTGGGCTATAATTTGAATGATCTCCCAAAAACTTACAAGGAAATTTAATCCTTATTGTAAGTGACAAAGAGGTGGAACACTGAATTCTCCCACAGATGAAGGAACTACTGGGTTGTCTCAAGATCATCTCTGTCACAAAAGCCAGTTTGGATCCCCTTCCCATGATACCCTGTGCTGCCTTGTATGTCTGCAGATTTCCTACTTGTTTTTCACCAGATACTGCCCATTGGCCTTGAACCTCCTACTTTCCACAACTATGAGCTGAATAAGCCTTTGGGGTTTAAATATATCATCCAGTCTGTGTTATTCACTCATAGCAACAACAACAACAACAACAACAACAACAACAAAAAACTAATTAAGACAGTCTAAGATAGCCGATTGTCATGCTGGCTGATGGGTGAGAGCTTCATCCTCAGGTCCTGGTTATTTGCCCCTTCTTTTCCTTCATATACGTCCTTGTCTCTGATACCAGGCATGGATTCACAATACTCATATGTCTAGGTCCACCTCCCATTGGAAGTTGTCCCTTGGGTCAACTTACAACATGAGAATTGATCACCTGGCTTCCATGGGTATATCTGACTCCAACCCATTCACAGAAACCATGCATGATCCTGTGTACCAGTGTTACCAGCCTTAGGGTCATCTTGGAATCTGCTGCCACATAGGGGTAGAATCTGTCCTTAAAAAGAATTCAATATGCTATTCTTTTTTTAAAAAGTATCACTTCTAAAATTACTATAAGCTCATCTGCTATGTTGAGGACTATGGTTGCTGTAAACCCTCTCTATTTAGCTTTCTTCTTTTATTTTTTTGTGGGTTAGGATCAAACCCAAGACTTCATGCATGCTTGACACATTCTTTACCACTGAGCTACAGTCCAGCTCTGCAGCTGTAGAAAGTGCAACCCATGCATCCCAGATGATCCTAGTTCCTGTTAAGAGTGCCTTTCTGTGGATGGGCTAGACTGGAGTCATCTGCAGACATGGAGTACTATGGCCCCGGGATGTACTCTGTGGAGGAAACTGGTTGACCATGTAACCACTTGAGCACCGAGCAGAAGTGTGAGGAAAGTGGAGGTAGACCTAAGTAGGTCACCTGGCCACAGCCTCAAGAAGAGTGCTTCTAAGAGATCCCTGAGCATCAGATGGATTTATTTCTGCCTCCTATATATTACTTTTCCTGTGCCCTGGTGTGGAGCCATAGAGCACAAGTATGTGGGTAAATCACACACTGTGTTGTCCCCACCCATTCTGCTTCTTCTGCTCACCCTTTTTGGCAATTGAGTCTGTGAATTGTTCCTAACAAGAGACATAAGACTCAAGGTCATGAGGGAGGTAGTCATGCAATGCCGAACAGTGGGAGTGCTTTCCCACACAGGCATCATCAGGCCATCTTGTTCTTGTGGAACCATCGTGGTTGTCCACACATAGTTACACAACTTGGGCTAGTCACACCATGTGGTATCTTGATGCATTCAAGAGACACAGTGACCATTAGTGTGTGAATCTGCTGCCAGAGGAACCAGCTTTACTGTAAACATTATTTATATCCAATGTGTGCTCTAAAATTATCACAAAGAGGTCAGAGGTTTAGCTCCATAGTAGAGCAGCTGTGGGCTTGGTTTCCTAGCACTCGGGTAAGAAAATAAAAACATATAACATGCAGTGGAGAAAATACACAGGCTAGTGACGTCATCACCTACCATCTAATATCGTATCCTGTATATGGTTGTCTGTGGTATGCTAAATGCAGCTTGCAGCACAGAGGTTTTGTTTGTGGCAGCATCACTGCAGACCTGAAGTTTTGCATTGCACCCTGGTGCTACAACAGCTATCATGTCGTTATGTGATGGTGTCCATTTAGCTCACTGTTGCAGAGGGCTGGCATTGAGCTGACCTTGTTGAAATATTTCTGTGCTGTTTTGATCCATGTGGGCTGCCAAAGCCAAGTATTTACAGCTGGGTCCTCAGGAGGCATATATCCTTGATCTATAAATGGCCTTCTAACCAGTGTTCTCATATTGTTTTGTGTGGACATATCTGCTCCCTCTTCCCTTGTTCTAAGGACATAACTCAGACTATAATAGTACCTCACCACACCTCCTTTACTCAGTTCCCTCTAGATAGAAACACCCTATCTCCAAATGTAATCGGAGGTAGTAGGGGTTAGGACTTCAACACACAAATGCAGTGGAACACAGTTTATTCCATAATACTAGGGAAGACTGATAAGAAATATGTAGTATCTCTTATTCTTCCCATAAGTGGAGATTTCTATGCTTAAGTATGTAGACATTTACATGAAAAGAATACAACTTGCATTTTATGAGGGATGCTTGGTCTAAGACATCAATATGATGTCTTGTGTACTGTTCATTTACCAATGATTTCCAACATTGAATTTCTCAGGGTTTGCTCAAGACAAGAATTCCTGCACCTGCAGGGCTTTTTCCTTGGAGCCTTATTCTTTTAGGCATCTTGAAGAGGGGCTGCTGTTCTTGCTTACAGCCTGTCCTATGCCTCATTGAATACTGGCCTTAGGCTTCTTCATGGTGCCCCTGTCGGCTAGTTCTGTTGGGGAACCTCCTTCAGATGCACATGCCTTTTTCTTCTGTTCTAAATAAAAGTGATCTCTAATGGGAGGCCAAGCTAAGCTTTTTGAACTTTGATACTGTGTACAAACTCATCAAAGATGGTGCTGCTGAGCTTCTCTGCCTCCTGTCATCACTGTCCTGGAATGGGTCCCAAGACCATCCCATCTGAGAGTCCCATTGGATCAAAGCCTTGCCCATGGACCTGAGAACATCTACTGCGATTGAGAATGTTTTTCAAAGGGACTGGCTCTTTAAATTGCTTTACACTTTCTGTAGAAACCCAGGAATGGTGTTGATGAAGAAGAGAAATTAAAGGCAGATGCTTCTAATGATATAAGCTCAGAGTCTGACCTTTGGAAAATCATTGTAAATGCGCTTAACATATTAAATCTGTTTGATAACAGAAGGTCGTATTTCTACAAGTTTGGAAGTAGTCAGACTGGTAATTAGCAAGCAAAATAGGTGATAGAGTGTCACTTCTGTGCCTTATCTCAGAGCTACCTACCTCTGGGGGTTCGGAGGGGAATCTTAGAGTTACCAGTGGGCCATATAGTTCCCTGGGCTAAACATAATAGGTCTACATGATCATTCCAGTGGATCTAGATGGAGTCAGTCCCCTTTTGCTGTGTGGGGTGTGTGGTCAACTACATGGGCTTGATTGCCACAGCCCACAGGGTACTCTCTAGTGCTTGTGTCTTTCTCTTAGCATTTATATTCAATGACAGAGGCTGCATTTAGATCTTATTTTATGACCGCCAATGCTGTGCTTTGTACATATTTGGTTTGGTGGATCTTGAATTAGTAAAACACAAGAAAATAGAGGCTTCAAATGGAAGAAGTCTCAGGAGTGGTGGTGTGTACCCGCAGTTCCAGTTACTTGAGTTTCTGAAGTAGGGTCCTTTGAGCCGAGAAGTTTACAGCCAACTTGTGCAAAACAGCCTCTGTGTCAAAAGATAGAGACACAGCCAGCCAGCCAGCCAGACAGATGAGAGGACAGAAAGGAAAGTGAACCAGGGAAGAAGCTGAAGGTGGTACTAGTAGCAGGCAGCCCTTGAAGTTTGTGGGGATTTCCTCCAATCCAGTGTAGAATCTAAGACGAAAATATCCAGTCAGTGCTCCACACTCTATACTTAATGTCCAAATGGCCCAAACCACCTTCAAGAAACTGTTAAAAGCAACTTTTGTGTTGGATTAGTGGGTTTGTTTTTCCAGTGGCCATGTGAATGACCTAACTGTCAGGTTCCAAAGGCTGCTGAGGTTAGTGACTGTAGCTTGTGTCTTGGGCTTCATCGTGATGAGGTAGGGAGGATGAATCTGGTCTCATATCCATTTTGCAGACCCAACAATGAAATGTGGCACTGCTTAGCAGTCATTTCCGGGCCCTGCAGGAGCTCCAGTGCCAGCACTTGTCACCCACCACCCATGACAGTATTCTAGTTTCACAGGGTTTAAAATTTTTAGATTATGTTCTTTTTATTTCAGGCAAATAAATACAAAGATTAGCATTTTAATTAAGTTACACTTTTGAAATAAAAAAATTGTGATGCACAACAAACCTGCCATTGTAAGTATTTTAAGTACGTAATTTGGTAGCAATTTTGATATTTTTGATACAATTAATGATACTGTATAGTTCAACCATCATTACTATTTCCTAAACTTTACCATCACCAGGTAGAAACTGTATCCATGAAGACATTTGTTTTATTTTGTTTTTCCTCCTCTATCCTTCCATAACTTGAATCTCTTCCTCTGCACATGGACCTATTCTAGGTCCTTCTTGAGTGGAGGCATTGCATAGTCTGTCTGTGAATCTTCACTTAGCACATCTTCAAGGTTCACCTGCATTCTAGCTTTCTTTCTTAAGGACTGGGTAATATTCCACTGTGTGTATACTGTATTTGTCTACCTGTCTATCTGTGGGAGGAGGGGTTGATTCCATGTTGTAGCTGATGACATACATAATGAACATAGATGATCTGTTTGAATCCTTACTTTCTGTTCTTTGGGAGCACAGGTCTGGGAGTGGTCATTTTAACCACTTTCAAGTGATGAAGCCATTGGCGTTTATGGTATCCACAGTGTTGAGTTGACACTATTGTCTAGCTCCCGAACATTTTGTGGGCCCAGAAACAGCCTCCTTGCTCATTAAGCAGTCAGTTTTCATCTTCCCACTTCCAGCCACAGTTGCCTTGAGTCCATATTCTGTCCCTATAGTTCTATCTATTCTGGCCATTTCAAATAGAGTTATATGCATATATAGCCTTAATCTTGTTTTTGAAAATAACTTTTTATTGTTATAAAGTAGAAATAACTTTCAATTGACACTTAAATACTCATCAGCCAAATTCAGCCTGATTGGATCTTGCCAACCATGTTAATCAAAATCTCTTACCAGGGAAGAACAGAAGTATGTGATTCGATACTGGAAACAAATCCGAGTGGGCGACTTTGTCCGTCTTCACTGCAATGAGATCATACCTGCGGACATTCTGCTGCTGTCCTCCAGTGACCCTGATGGGTTGTGCCACATCGAGACTGCTAACCTGGATGGAGAGACCAACCTGAAGCGACGGCAAGTGGTCCGTGGCTTCTCGGAGCTTGTAAGTGATCTTCATTCCCAGAGCACCCCAGTGTCTGTCTCCCCTGCAAGCCTGTCTTTGGTCTGGGCCACTTTGCCTGGTAGACAGAAACAGTCTGACAGCTCCTCCGTGCCTACGCCCATATGGATGGGGCTCTTTCTGACTGTGATTTCTAGTGTACACTTAATAAGTTTCTCAGAATGCTATTTAGTCTTTGAAGAATTGTGAGTGAACATTCTGAAACAGTCAACATTTACTGAGTCATTTTGCTAGGTCACCAGATAGCAGCATAGCAGAGTCACAGTCTGTTCCCAGTAGGTTGGGAACATTATCTCCTCAAGTGACTTTCTCAGTTCAGCCTCAGGGCTTCCAGAGTTGAGTTCTGTCTCAGATGTGTGAACCAACAACTAAGAGTAGGGTTGAGTAAAGAGTAGGTAGGGAGGTTTTACCTATAAACAGGCTAGGAAATGGAGAGTCCCCAAGGAGCTTTCCCACAGGTCTTCTTAAAAAAAAAAAAAAAAAAAGGTTTTCCCTTCTACGTCTGTGTAGAGACATTCAGTGCTAACACCAGGTGAAATAATGAAACACAGTCCCCAGGCATCAGGAAATGTCGAAAAGGAAGTGGGGCAGCCTCCTCCTGACCCCACCTACTCCATCCTGCATTGCTTGTCTGAGTCATTCCTTCAGGTCTGGACATTTCCTGTACAGAGGATGCTTTAAAAAGTGATCCAAGGAAGTGAGTCCCTGCATTTGAGGAAGGATGTCATTGGGGATTTCTTCTGCCACTTTGGGTCATCCCACCACTTACCAATAAAGTTCTTTGGGGCCTAGAATCAGGGCCATGGGGCTGGCTTTAGCTTTGACTTGGTTATATAGTCAATGGATCCACATGAAGGCATTGCAAGTGAAGTGATTCTTGATCAGGACCGCTGAGGGGCGGGGAGCCCTGCCTCCTACTCTTGCCATGTCCTGCAACTCACATCAATCACCAACACAGGCGGAGATGCCTCTTGACACACCCAGAAGGCCACGAAGGGAGAACGGTAAGACTGTGGCTGGAGGTTTTGAGGCAGCTGCCACTTGGTTACAAGCCTTTGCCTTACGGTCTTGCCCTTTCTTATTTCCATTGCAATTTCCTCATTGATCTGTGACTAGGAAAAAACAAACACAGAACACAAAACAATAAACAACAAAAAACCCACCTGATTTTTCTACCAAATATGTTTTGTGGAACAATAAACTTAAAAATTACTTGTATGTAGGGGTGCATGCTTATAATCCAAGCTGCTCCAGAAACTGAGGCAGAAGGTGGAAAGCTCAAAGCCCAGGTGGGCGATGTAAAGAGACATTGCTAAAAACAAAACAACAGCAACAACAACACCAACAACAGCACCAACAAAACTGGAACAAAGAACGTAATATAGATGTACAAACACAGGCAAAGTACTATATATGTGTGTATATTTACACATATGCGTACATTTGTTTGTTTAAAATGGATCACTTTCATCCCAGGCCAGGAAAGCAGCAGGGCTTGTTTGTTAGGGGCTCCATGCAATTCCTGACCTTGCCTGATGATTATGCTTTCCTGAATTTGATAGTTGTGTGGGTCCATGTGCAGGACAGTCTTGGCAGTAAGTTGGCCTTGTAGCTAGGCTTCCCCACCTGGCCCACTGTGTCCCAGAACATGACACCTCTGCCTTCCTTCCAAGAGATAAGGAGGTGGGTGGGGCAACTAACATTGCAACATTGATAGCTGCAAGGGACACAAGTCCCCTTCCAATTTTCACAGTCTCACCAGGAGGCAAGAAGAGGCTTGATGGGATATGAAGACCAAAGTTGAAGTACAGCAATGTGTAGAGGATGAGTCAGACCTAAGTGAGGATGTGTGAGTATCTGAGGTTGAGGGAAAGATGATGCTATGCAGAGTCAGGGGTAGAGTGTTCATGTTTGGCAGGGTGGGGGGGGATCATCACAAGTCTGGCTCCTTAGTTAACTCCCAAGAATTTATTCATTTCTTATTGTTTACTCTTCAACTTCTGAACTCACCTAACCCGCCCCCCCTCTCAAACAACAACTGTGACACTTCATAGCTTCATCGTACTTTGTATAGACAAGTCAGGTGTAAGTGGGATGTTTAAGATTCAAAGATGGTGTGATGGATAATCTCGTTAATTTGATGGAATTTAGATTCACTATGGAAACCAATCTCTGGGGGATGGTTGTGAGGGATTATGTGGTTCATTGAGGTGGGAGATTCACCTTAACTGTGGCCAATACCATCCCATGGCCTGGGATTCTGGACTGAATAAGGAGGAGAACCCAAACTGAGCACAGGCATCCATCATGCTCCACTTCCTGACTGTGTATACAGCATGACCAGCTGCCTCACGTGTGTGCTGTCGTGAGTGCCGTACCTGTCATGGTAGACTGTATCTGTAGAAGTGCAGAAATAAACCCCCAAGCTGCTTTCTTTCAGGTGATTTGTCTCAGCAGGAAAACTAACAAATACAAATGGTTGTTCTGTATCACCCTCTAGGGCAGTGGTTCTCAACTTGTGGGTTGGGACCGTTTTGGCAAACCTCTATCTCTAAAACTTTTGTAGCAAAACTGTAGTTATTAAGTATAGCAACAAAAAATAATTTTGTGGTTGGGGGTTACCACAACATGAGGAATTGTATTAAAGGGGTCACAGCGTTAGGAAGGTTGAGAACCATTGCTCTCAGACCTGAGGAAGCAAATAGAATTGAGTCATAATTTAGTGAAATTGGGTCAGACTAACAACTAAATAACTCTGAGTTTTTAGTAACAGCTTCTTTGATAACAACGAAGTTCTTCAAGATGTATGCACATTTTGACTGTCATATTGATGTATTTTTGCACTTTCAGAATTACTGCTTATATACTATCCTAATGAAATTTATGTGTTTATTTCCCATATGGAAAGTAAAAAGCCATAAGTCTTTGGCTTTTAAATGCCCAACAGCTGACAAACCAAGCCTCTCATGGCATCATTACAATGTAAATTCTCATTTAAGTGTCTTTTTTTTTTCCTATTAAGTATTAGAAAGATGAAGAATGGACTATGGTTGGATCCTGATTCACGTAAGATTCAAAGCAATATTTTACCAGCTTTATAGATGGTCAAGTGCAGGGAGTAGACTGCAGGAAACCTTAGAAGGGATTTTTATATTTGTATTTCTTTAAGAATAACAGATGACGGGGGGTGACTATGTCATCAGTCCAGTCAGGAGATAAATCATACCACGATGACATCAGAGAAAGTGTCTCGAGGATTTTTTATGTGTTCTTGTGGTGCTAGTAATGGAGCACAGGGTGCCCACTCACTGGGCAGATGTTCTGCCTTGGACCTGCACCTCCAGCACAGATGTGAAGCAACTTTAATGTGAGATTAGGCAGTAAAGACTGAGCCGTAGCTGCTGTAAGCAGTGGGTCTGAGATAGACACAGCCTTCTGCTCAGGAGACAGCCATAGCTTATGGGAAGGGACTGTAATTTTGGAAGTTGCTGTACGTCTACCACAGAGGATCACTGAGAGCTGCCAAGCTTGGGAATTTGCTGGATACCAGGGTAGTCCCTGATCCTTGGCCACTGGGGATGCTACACTCGACAGTCCTGGCAGCTGCAGTGGGCTGTAATGAAGATGGGTAGATGCCTTCTAGACAGTTGCCCCAAGGAGCCCTAGCCTTTGAGTATGAGAGGCTAGGTGAGGTTGTAGGGAGAAGCAGCCTAACCTGGGACAAAGCCTACTAAGTTTTTGCTTTTCATTACCCTGAACTCACTCACTCACTCACTCGCAGGCAGTTCTTTACTCCTCCACCTTTCACCAGCGCCCTCTACTGACAAAATAGAAGTTAGCACCTCTCCTACACATTGTCATACATCTTGGATAAAGTATTCATGTGTTTTGATACGAGTGGCTCATGCCCTGTCAGGCCTAGTAATTTAACAAAACGGGACTAACCCATGCCCACCAGCTGATGCTCCAGTTAGGGTCTAAGGTTGGAAAGTGCCCATCCTCAGCTGTCAAGGGATGCTTCCAAAAAGAGGGACTTGAACCTAATATGAAGACAAGAGTGAAGGTTAAGATACTAGTTCTTTGGTGCAGTCACACAGACCTACACACTCCCTGAGTGGTGGAAATGTGTTTATTTAATGAAGAATATTGGATAAAACTGTACATGGTTGAAGGGATATAAGACAGGCAGAAGGTGATGGGCATGTCCCACTCAGACCTCAGATGAAGATCCAGACTGGGTGGGTGGCTGCACTATCAAGCCTCTGTGAAGGGAAACTTAGAGTCTTTGACTTAAAAAGAAAGGTTTGGTTTAAAGCTTGGGGTTGAATAGTAGCAACCAAGAATTCAGGAAGGAATCCCAGTGCTAAACATTGCACTCAGAGTTGTGAGTCACATTTATTCTGCTCTTTTAGGTGCCAGACTTAACATGCCTTTGCAGTTGAGGTACAGTAAACATTATTTAAAAAATTTACATATTTTAAAAAGAATCCTATGAAACAATGATTATCTCACCATGTTACCAGTGCAAAATAGATAAGGCAAAGGCAGATGTTCTGCCTGCCTGCCATCTTCCAACCTGCTAGTCTAGCTGGAGCTGGAGCAAGGGGGTTCTGTCTGAACTGTCAGGGAGAGGTCAAAAGCATCCAGGTTTTACCTAAGTTCACAATAAACATTCACAGACCTGCAGGTCTGGCCTGAAGCTGTGTTCGCCCCCCCACGGCTCAGGGAAGAAGTTCTAACTCACCTGTAATATTTGCATGGACAGCTCTGTAGAATCAGGCATTTTCTAAGCATCTCAACTGATATGCAACACTCCCCTTTGCAAATTTTGATTCCTTCACCAGATATTTATTGAGCATCTGTTAGTCATCAAAGCTGCATTAATCAAAGCTGGGAGCTTTTTCTTCTCCTGGTGCTCATATCATCTCTGTAAATAAGTGAACTGTGTGGAAAGTTGAAGTGGGAAGTGGTAGGTGTAAATA